TTCATTTTCTACCAAACATGTTAGAAAATCCGGTTCATTTTCTACCATACAAGTTAGAATATTCGAATCGAATTCTACCAAGTATGTGAGAAAATCCGGTCCGAAGGATTTTTCAACTCTAGCACGTTTGCTACGTCGGGGTTCGGCTTCTTCACCGGATCCCTCGCTAGTATTTTCCATAGCTACGTCAAATGTTCGTTTTGACGTGCTAGGTCCATCGTTGGACTTGCATGGAAATACGTCTTCAAAGAATGATGCATTCCTTGACTCAATTATTGTGTTTTTATGTACATCCGGATTATTCGAATCGTGCACTAAAAACCGATAAGCACTACTATTTTGTGCATATCCAATAAAAATACAATCCACCGTTTTTGGACCTATTTTTATTTTCTTAGGTGTTGGTACAAGCACCTTAGCAAGACACCCCCACACTTTTAAATATTGATAGGAAGGCCGTCTGCCTTTCCACAACTCGTACGGAGTTTTATCATATTTTTTCCGGGGAACCTTATTTAAAAGGTAATTGCTTGTCAAGATTGCTTCGCCCCACATGTTTTGTGGCAGGCCCGAACTTACTAGCATCGCATTCATCATATCTTTCAATGTGCGATTCTTTCGTTCGGCAACACCGTTTGATTGAGGTGAATACGGTGCGGTACGTTCGTGTACTATACCCACACTAGCGCAAAAGTCACCAATTGGTGCTTCATACTCACCACCTCGATCACTCCTAACCGTTTTAATCCGTCGATTAAGTTGGTTTTCCACTTCATTCTTATAAAGAATGAATTTATCGATTGCTTCGTGTTTATTTTTCAACAAATAAACATAGCTATAGCGAGTGCTATCATCGATAAAAGTAATAAAATATTTATTACCGCCACGTGTTTGTATTGATTTAAAATCACAAACGTCACTATGAATTAATTCTAGTGGTTCCGTTTTTCTTTCAACCGATTTGAAAGACGTTTTCGTTAGTTTTGCCTCAACACAAACATCACATTTGTGCTTCACATCAATTGTGAATTTAGGAATGTGCTCCATGTTAATTAATCTACGTATAGAATTAAAATTAACATGTCCTAGTCTACCATGCCACACATTGGAAGACTCAAGCAAGTAAGCAGAAGAGATTTTATTATTATTAATAATAATAGTCATTACATTGAGCTTAAATAGCCCATCACATGCATACCCTTTGCCCACATACATTCCCGACTTGGACAAAACTAATTTGTCCGACTCAAAAACCATGCGGAATCCATGCTTGTTCAACAACGAACCGGAAATCAGGTTTTTGCGTATCTCCGGAACGAACAGCACTTGGTTTAGAGTGAGCTCCTTGCCCGAAGTCATCTTCAGGACCACCTTGCCCACGCCTTCCACCTCGGAATGGGCTGAGTTTCCCATCCACACTTTCTCACCATTAGATGACTCAAAAGTAGTGAATAACTCCCGGTTTGAGCAAATATGCCGGGTAGCACCGGTGTCCACAAACCACTCCTTGGAATTGGATCCAACCAGGTTGACTTCCGTCCCCACGGCCGCTAGGATGATGTCTTCATCCTTTTGCCCACCTTGCACCAAGTTAACGTGAGAATCTTTCTTCCTCTTTGGTGCCTTGCAATCCGAGGACTTGTGTCCATTTTTATTGCAATTGAAGCATTTTCCGTTGAACTTAGTCTTGGAAACGCCTCCCTTGGGACCGAGCTTGCTCTTCCCATTATTTTTATTTTTGGAGCTTTTTGCATGCTCCACCACATTGGCCTTGGCGCCATGAACAATTGGGAGTTTCCCATCATTCTTCCGGTTATCCTCTTCAATCCGCAGACGGAGGATCAATTGTTCCAAGTTCATTTCCTTTCGCTTATGCTTAAGGTAGTTTTTGAAATCCTTCCAAGCCGGCGGCAACAAATGTATAATTGACGCCACTTGGAAAGACTCGCTAACCGCGTTGAGAGATTGCACATCTACCTCAGTCCCGGTTACAACCGGAGCGTCCTCGGTCAAGAACCTCGCAAGACCGAGAGTAGTGAGATAAAATAGCATCTTTTGCTGCCACCTCTTGAAGTTTAACCCATTGAATTTCTCGGGTTTCTCCACAGAGTTGCTTGGCACGGTCACCATAGGGATAGCCCTTTGGTTGGCCAAAGCAGATGCACCGCGTTGTGAACTATTGTTCACCGGAGCTCCGCTTTCAGAGTGATTGTCGTTCAGAACATTCTGCCCAACACCAATTTCGTTTTCTTAAGAAGTCATTTTCGTTTCTTAACGTTTTTCCGAAAACACAAAAAATGATTTAAGTTCGTTCACAGAAGTGACAAACTACAGTTGAAGATTGTATCCGTATGATACAAACTTAGCAACAAAATATGTTTTAAGATTGTATCCGTATGATACAAGCTTAACAAAACAAATACGTTTTAAGATTGTTGGGTGTGTTTCGGAAAATAAAGAAAATTAATTAAAACAAATTAATTAAATAAAATGACTAGAGAAAAACAAGAAAGGAGATGAAGCAGAATTAGTCAAAGCTCGTGCTACGCACGATTTCCTTAAAACGTATTTGTTGCCTCCCACGGTGCTAGGAGCGTTGCAACAATCGTTTCCCAGGATCGAGGCATTCTGATCGAGGCCATCAGAGACCGAGGTGTTCTGATGCCACCAGAGACCGAGGCATTCTGATCGAGGCCATCAGAGACCGAGGTGTTCTGATGCCACCAGAGACCGAGGCATTCTGATCGAGGCCACAGAGACCGAGGTGTTCTGATGCCACCAGAGGCCGAGGTCTTCTGCTAGGCACTTCTGTCAACCGGGAAAAAATAAACGTTTCGGGAAGAAAACAAAAATTATCCGTATCTCTTGAGAGATAGATTTTTGGACGACATTCGTGTCCGCAGGTCGCCCGCGCACGCAAGTCGCGGTTTTTCTTCTCCGAATTCGGGATTTGATTTGCACCCCCCCTGCGCGCGTGGAGAGAGCCTTTACCCTTAGGAATCTTAACTCCTTAAGGGGAGAGTCCCTTTATAAAGGGTTGCAAATCCCTTGGGTTTTCCGGTGTGGGAAATTAACACACTAGAAACCCATCCTTTTTCCCAGTTTTTCCATTCTAACGGGTAAACTTCGAAAAGCGATTTCTCATTCACCCGTTATCCGTTTTGAGCGTACCATATATCGAATTGTAGCCCTTAACAAGGACAATCCGAAACCACTTTGACCCGACCCAAATCGGAAGTGGACCCCACTCAAAAAATTGCCCCAAAATAGCCATTTAATGCAATTTTTCACACATTTTTCCAACATCTTATATGGACAGAAATGTAACTTAGAGTGAATGTGGATGGGGTAGAAGTATTTCAAAAAAATTAACAAAGGGGATGCATTTTGCTTTTGTATGACTACTGATTAGGTAGGTGCTACATTGTAAAGGTAGGTGGGGGAGCTGGTCATGTGAGGCTCACGGGAGCGCTTCCGCCTCGACCTCTACAACCCTTTAACGTGAGGTCAAGATAACCCACTTCTACCTCGACCTTGGTCACTGATTATGTCATCACTCGTGTCACGCTTATGTTACTTATGTCATCACTTTTGTCTCGACCTTGGTCACTGATTATGTCATCACTCGTGTCACCAATAAAATGTAAAAATACATATATAGAATTGATGTAATAATTTATATATTGATTTTATGTAATACTCCATCCGTCCCAAAATTAACTTCTCATTCACTATTCACACGGTCAACTTAAATTACATTTTTATCGAGCTTTGTAGAGGTTTTAATGTAGTTTCTGAATATGTAAATTTTATTTACTAAAAGTAATTTGAGTGTGGACAAAGATCAAATTGCTTTATCGTCAGTCAAGCATCGTTATCCGAAATGAGAAGTTAATTTTGGGACGGAGGCCGTATGTCTTGATCTTAAACTTATTTTTGGGATTTAATGTTGAAAAAGTTACATTTATCAATTGGTGGACCAAACAATATTATTGTGAAACAGATAAAATATTGGGGTAAAATATTTTGAACACCCTATATTTAGTTGCAAACCTGCCACTGCAGGGAAGGCGGCAAGGGGAGCTATCATGCGCAATGAACATGGAGTGATATGATGTTGTTCACTCTTAGCTTTTCCGGTCTCAACTGGATCATCCTTCGAAGCTGAGTTTCTGGCTCTGAGTACAACGACAAAGTGAGCAATGGAGGCTGGATATGTTGGTTTTCAGGTGGAGTCTAGATGCGGTGCAAGTGGTTGATTACATAGCTAGTGATAGATCAGGTAGATAACGAGAGATGTGGCTGGATTTGAAACGACGAGCTTCTCAGACAAAGGTCACGTTCGAACATACTTGGACTGCTCATTACACTGCAGATCTCAAACCGACCCATTTAACTCATTATTTGGACTTTAATTCTCTGCAAAGAAGGCTTATTATTTAGATCTTTTTGGCATCCCTTCTCTCCATAATACGTAGTTGGTTTTGCTTGTTCAGACTTATTTATTTGCTTTATTTTAGCTTATTTTATTCTAGTTTTAAATTGGGTCAGATCTAATCCCCGATTTTTACTGTTATACTTCTGTATTTCGAAGAGAAATGTCCCTTCTTGTCATTTGATTTGGTTTCCCTCTCATTTTGTATTTCTTCACTTTAATAAAATTTGAAAAATATTTATTGACATTTGCCCGATTTTGATGATTTATCTGTCGAGTTTAAGAAAAAAGTTGAATTTATTTGGTAAACATCTGTTTGCACTAGGGGTGAACATGAGACGGTACGGGACGGTTATTTCAAAAAACCTGTCCCGTCCCAAAATATGGTTCTTTTAAAAATCAAGAACCGGTACCGTCCCGCATATATATAGAACGTGTCCCGTTCCGTACCAATTTTCGGTACGGTTCGGTACGGTTCAGTACGGTTCTACGATGTTATTTAGGGGGTGTTTGGATCCGCTTTTAAAAGTGATTCTGCTCTCCCAAGGAGCAGTTTGAAGCAGAAGCAGTTTAACAAGTGTTTGGATCTGATTAAAAAACTTCTATTAGAAAGGGTGTAGAATCAGTTTGGGAGAAGTTGGGTAGTAGCAACTTCTCAAAATTAGCTTCTGATTCTCTTATTTCTATTCCTAAAATAACCTCAGCACACTTTCGTAACACAACACAACACAAATCAACGATCCAACCTAGGTATTCTTCTCCCTTCAGAGCTTCTCCTCTCCAACCATCGAGGTGACGAACCCTTTAGGCCGGTGCTTGGATTCTCTGGCGAGAGCTTCTCCGACCACCATCTCTGGATGGCGCGACTTGGCTTCTCTGGCTTCTCCAGCTACTTTTCTTCTCCGGCTTCTCCAGCTACTTTTCTTCTCCGGCTTCTCCAGTGACTTGTCTTCTCCGGCTTCTCCAGCGACTTGTCTTCTCCAGCGTCCTTGTATTCCACTCTAAGGTACACTCTGAACTTGTGAGTTTGTTGATTTGCTTGTTTATGTGATTATTATTCCAATTATTGTGTTTGTTCTTCGATTTCTTTTGCAAATAATCTATTTGGGTTAGTTTTTTTTTTGCATCAACAAACCACAGTAATGATTTGCTTAAATTTATCTAGTGAAGTAGCACTTACGGTCTGTAAGTTACAGAAGCAATAGAGAGAAAACCAAACATGTAAAATTCTCATCCATTCATCTCAACCATATTTTCCATTAAAATAATTATTCAAGCTATCCAAACCTTTGCTGGAGTGCATCACTTTGTAACCTTGTAACTACAATGAGGACTATCCAAACCTATGTTTCCTGATGAAAGTATGAAACCTCACCTATAGCCTGGTAAACCTGCATGTTAAAATCTTTTTGGGTGTAAATGGTGTTGACTAATGAGTTTCCTTTCTCACTTTGATGGACATGGATACATGACAACTGTCTTCGTCTGGATTATCACAAAAGAGTGATCTAACCTCCAAGTTTTTTTACTTCATGCCATACCATTTGTCACATGTCACACTTATAGACTAGACATTGATAAAAACCGTTATTTTCTCCATAAGATAGAAGCAAATGATCTTAGTTCTTCTCAATGTCATTGACATGTGTGTGATGTCGGACAACTTACTTGTGATTTCACCGTTTTTTGCTTTCATCTTCTAGTGAGATTTATTTCTTTGGAACTGTTGAATGATTTTGAGTTAACTATGAAATTATTCATGAAGGAGGCAATATATATCACTAGTTTTGTGTCATATTGATAATTCACATACTGTAATGGGAAAGGTAATCTCATTTTATTTTCACAATGATAAATTCAGAGCTGTGAAGTATAATTTTGAAAGTACATTGCTAATAGTATGTTAAATTCAGGTATGGAATCTCATAAGGTTAGTACTTTTGATGATGAAGGGAAACAAAAAAATGAAACCAAAAAAATGCATTGGGACCATGCAACTCATATGACCTTCATTGATGTATGTCTTGTTGAGGTGCGAAACGGGAATAGGCCTGGTGGTCACTTTAATAGGTTGGGATGGAAAAACTTGGTTGATAACATGAAAAAACATACGAATAGAACATTTAGCAAAATTCAACTTAAGAATCATTGGGATAAGATGAGGAAGGAATGGAGAGCTTATGATAAGCTCATGAGGAAAGAATCTGGCCTTGGATGGGATCCTGTTACGAAGACTATTGACGCTACACCAGATTGGTGGGCAGCTGTGATACAGGTTATTATTAATTCATGCGAACATATATTTCATTTATTTTTGCCTAAAGTGATGCTAAACTGAAGTGCAGTTTTAAAAATGACAGTTTTTATAAATCAGTTTGTGCTTACTAGTTGCTAGCCGCAGATTTTTTGGGGAGCTATACTACAATGCAGTTTTTGTAAAACTTTCATTGATTTTAGTGCAGTTTTATAACATGCAGTTTTTACTAGCTGCAATTTTTATATAACAGTATCGTTTTATAAACTGCAGTTTTTTACTATGTGCAGTTTTATGTACTAGCTGCAGTTTGTTTTATAGCATGCAGTTTCTTACTAGCTGCAGTTTATTATTTACTAGCTGCAGTTTGTTATATAACATGCAGTTTTTATAAAACAGTATCGTTTTATAAACTGCAGTTTTAAGTACTAGCTGCAGTTTATTTTATAACATGGAGTTTCTTACTAGCTGCAGTTTGTTTTATAACATGCAGTTTTTTACTAGTTGCAGTTTGTTTTATAACATGCAGTTTTTACTAGCTGCAGTTTATTATTTACTACCTGCAGTTTGTTTTATAACATGCAGTTTTTTACTAGCTGCAGTTTGTTTTATAACATGCAGTTTTTACTAGCTGCAGTTTATTATTTACTACCTGCAGTTTGTTTTATAACATGCAGTTTTTTACTAGGTGCAGTTTTATTTACTAGCTGCTGTCTGTTTTATAACATGCAGTTTTAAAGTCGATTTTTGTTAATAGGAGGATCCTGAATGTGCCAAACTCAAGGGCAAGAATCTGGAAATCTATCAAGTTTACTATGAACCTCTGCTTAGAGATAGAGTTGCAACTGGTGAAAATGCTAGGGATGCAAATTATTATACTGTTGGCGTTGAAGACAATGCCCAATCGTTTGAAGATGAAGATGATGAACCAGAAAATGAAGAGTCTGTCTCTTTAACTTTTCCACCTCCTAGCTATCATAAAAGGCATTCAAGTTCTGGCTCTTCTCGACCAAAAAAGGGTAAATCTTCTGCAGCCTCTAAGTTTGAAGACAAGCTAGACAAGGTAATTGAGATAATGGGATCAAGAAGCTCAGTTACCTCCGCACCACCGATAAGCAATGTACCATCACTTGAAGAATGTGTTGCTATGATTAGTGAATTTCCTGGTTATGAACCTGGTACACTAGCATATTGTGATGCCATCCAATTGTTCTGGAAGAAAGAAGCGAGACAGAGTATAATGCTTCCACCTACTTTGGAGACGAAGAAAGTACTCCTTGATAGTCTCATAAAAAATCTGAAGGAGTGAGGGTGTTTTATCTTTTTAATGATTGTCTTGAATTGAAGATTATGTTATTTTCTAAGCTTGTTGAGAACAATGTTTAAGTATGTTGTGGTTATGTTGCCTAAGTATGCTATTTCCTTGTTTGAGAACACTGTTTAGGAATGCTTAAGGTTGTTTGATAATATTGTTTAACCTTGTTATTGTTTTGAAGTATTTATTGTGATTTCATTATTTCAGATTTATTTTTGCTTTTTCACAATGGGTAAGTGGAAAATCAGTTTTCACAACGAGGAAGAATATGACAACGAAACTAAGGAGGATGATAATCATGAAATTGATATTTTGTGTGGTATTGTTGTCTCTGGCATATTATTTGGGCAAAGCTTGCATGGACAAAGGCCGCTTCCTTGCCGTACATCTGCTCGTTCAGGAGCTATGTTTATCACAGAAGTTTTACAAGGTCACCCTATTCGATGCTATCAAGACTTTAGGCTACACAAAGAAGTATTTATTAGTCTATGTGAGGGTCTTAAGTGTCATTACGGTTTTGTTGAGTCAAGAGAACTATCCATTGAAGAATCCTTGGGTATTTTCTTGATGACATTAGCTCATGGTGTGGGAAATAGGTTGGTTCAAGAGACTTTTAATCATTCCGGTGAGACAATACACCGACACTTTCACTTGATTCTTCAAGCCGTGTGTAGACTTTCAATGGACATAATTCAACCCAACAATAGCTACAATGAAGAATGTCCATCTCATATACGTCGCAACTCACAATATTGGCCATATTTCAAGGTGAGTACTATTTTATTTATGTGTAATAAATCATAAAATGGTGTTGAGTATTTCTTGATATATTATTTCATATAGAATTGCATAGGGGCTATTGATGGAACTCATGTGAAGGCTAGTGTTAAAGAGAGCGAGAAAACAAAATGGATTGGGAGGAAAGGTTACCCAACACAAAATGTGTTGGCGGTTTGTGACTTCAACATGTGTTTCACATATGTGTTGGCGGGATGGGAAGGATCCGCACATGATACAAGAATATTTACCGACACAATACGAAAGCAAGATGGAAAGTTCCCTCATCCTAGTGGAGGTAACAAGTCATACAACTAAAGAACTATTTCCCCTTTTTGAAATACTAAAACTCTTCTTTTCTTCTTATAGATAAATATTATCTAGTTGATGCGGGATATCCAAACACTAAGGGCTATCTTGCACCTTATAAGGGAACACATATAAGGTATCACTTTCAAGATTTTCGAAGAGGCAAAACAAGAGGAGCACGTACTCCAAAGGGAACACAAGAGAGATTCAACTACATACACTCATCTTTGCGCAATGTGATTGAGAGGACTTTTGGAGTTTGGAAAGCAAGGTGGTCTATACTCAAAGACATGCATGTCAACTACACTATTGGTACTCAAATCGACATTATTGTCGCATCCATGGCAATACACAACTACATTAGAATCAAAAGTATTCAAGATGATGCTTTCTTAGTTGCTCAAAATGAAGCATATGACCCACATGAAGGAGTTGATCCTCAAGATGCTCCATTCACACAAGGGGAGGCATCATCAAGTCAAAGAAATGAAGATGTGGTTCACATGAATGCTATTAGAAATACAATAGCAAATGCGATCAATGTTAACTACCGTTAGTTTTTATTTTGGTGAAAGATACTTTAAAACTTTCATGCATTGACAACTTTTTTTGCACAAGTGCATGCGTAGTATGTATTTATGTGAAGACTCTACTGCTTTTGATGGTTTAAATTATGATTATATGATAGCTATTTATTGTCGTTGATGTTAATGTGCTTAACAGATGGTGGTATCATAATGGAATAACCTAAATTCAAAGTCTAGATCCGAATGAAAACTAATTAACATTTCCAAAACCGAAATGAAAATTCAGTAGGTAAAATGAAATCAAACCTTAATCAATTTTCAAATTCACCATTTCAGGCATTATAGCTATTTGGCGTTGCAGCATTCAGGATTCAAAATTAATTAGTTCTAAATAATTTCAAAATTAAAGTTGTGATTTAATTATATTTTTAGATATATTTAAAAAGTAACTACAATATTTTACGTATAAAAATTTAATGCTTTAAGATTTACAAAAATATAAAATTACATAAAGTTATTATTAATTGTATTTGGACCATGTAATTAGATTTAAGAGTCTTATAGTGGACAAAATCGTATGGTGTCATAATTAAATACAAAGAGTTATTATTATTACTGACTTGTAAGAAATGAGAAATGTGAAACATTATAACCGGATCATTTGTAACTGGAAAAAATAGGAAATTAAAAACATAAAATAATACGTAAGATTTTAGTGATGTGAATAAAAATGATTAATTGTACACGTGATTAGTCATTACACTTACTAATCAACTTCCCAGCCATTAAAAAAGAATTCAAGCCTAATCAGGGGAGAAATAATGCCCTTTTGGTAAATTTACACAAGAATCAGTTTGCAGAAGCAGCTTATCCAAACACTCTAAACTGATTCTCTATTAGATACAGCAGAATCAATACCAAACACTTCAGACAGAATCACTTTTCCATACAGCAGAAAATTCTGATTCTGCTTCTTACTTAAAAATAGAAGCAGAAGCAGAATCAGTTCCAAACACCCCCTTAGTTCCTAAATAATTAATCCCCATGAAATATAAAAAACTTTAGATTTTAACATATATAAATAACTCAACAAAAATTTAAGAGAGGAACTTGCAAGACTACATTTAGGATGTTTTTACTTGGACTGTAATTTGATGGTCTGGTCTGGTTTCTTTGTATTTTTATAACTACCCAAGTCCGATCTGATCTGGTTCTGTCTGGGACAAATTACAGTCCAAGTAAAAACATTCTTAATTGATCTTGTGTGATCAAATTGAAATATGAAATTAATAATCAAACTATAATAAAAAAAAGTAACATCCAAACTAAAAAGCAAAAATTATCGTCAAACTGAAAAACCAAAAAGTATCACATCACATGACAAAGAATATGCAAGATTGTACATTTGTAATATACGGACATACGGTCACTAACATTTACACTAGGTAAAATATATTATACCCGTAGTATATAATATATACGGAGTAATATATAATTATATTAGGCTAAAGGGTCAAATAGGCCTTTGAACTGACTTAAAGTGTTCAATTAGTCCCTTATATAGGAGGTTCTGCCCGGCCGTCGCTAATTAGGGCGGTTCCCGGTGGAATTTTTTGATAAAAATTTTTGAGCATCTTCTTCATTAAGTCTAGTTTACCCATACCAAATTTCAGCTAAAAATTCAACCGGGAAGACAGTCAAATGATTTTCCGAAATGTACTGCACTGTTTAACTTCGCAGTTACCTTCAACAAATCATTTGACTGCCTTCCCGGTTGAATTTTTAGCTGAAATTTGGTATGAGTAAACTGGACTTAATGAAGAAGATGCTCGAAAAATTTCATCAAAAAATTCCACCGGGAACCGCCCCAATTGGCGACGGACGGGCAGAACCTCCTATATAAGAGGCTAATTGAACACTTTAAGTCAGTTCAAGGACCTATTTGACCCTTTAGCCATTATATTACTACCTCCGTCCCGTTGGAATGTTCTCGTTCGGTTTACGATGTTTGACTGACGATAAAGCAACTCGATCCCTGTTTACACTCCGCTTATTTTTAGTAAATAAAATTTACATATTCAGAAACTACATTAAAACCGCTACAAAGCCTGATCAAGAAAAGTTCAATTTGATAAAAATTTGATATATAAAGTAAAAGATTAGGAGTGACCTAAGTTGACCAATGAATAGTGAACGGGAACATTCCAACGGGACGGAGGGAGTATAACACTAGTTTTCGGGACAATTCGGTACGGTACGAGACGGTTCGGTTCAATACGGTTCCAGGACGGTTCTAGGACGGTTCCGGAACGATTCTCACTAAAAACCGGTACCATACCATCTTATTAAAAAAGCTCCATACACTACAGTAAGGTATTACATTTTTCCTGTTCTTCCACATCCCTGCTCAACCCTAGTTTGCACCTTTTTCTTCCCAGAGATAAATCCGCAGAGGATCACGTCTTCTTCAGTTCTTCACTTCATGCTAAAATGTTACGCACGTAGTAAAATTCTCACGGTTTTCATACGCCTAGGGGACTTTCACCGAATGCAAATCAGTACTCGAAGCGTGCAGGAAAAATCTTGCAGATATAGAAAAAGACAATCAGAGACCCGAATTCAAGACGATTTCCAAATAAAATAATGGCGCTCTCTTCATATTCGCTTCGTGTATTTGGGTCACTACTGCACAGATCTTCCTACTCCTTCGCTCTTCAAAGTAAACTTCTCCCCCACACCCAGAACCCCAGTGAGCTGAAGATTTGATTTTTTTTGTTCATTTTTTATAAAAAGAATTCAGCCTCTGCCTCTCTCTCTAGACACGTTGGACTTGAATACTTAGAGGTTACATGGTTCAGGTACCGCATCTTTGAATGCGACACAGCAGTCATCCTCTTCTTGGTACTCATCTTCTCAAAAATGGGTCCTCCAATCTGGGTATTCCGTGAGAAAGATTTGGACTTCTATGCCACTGTGTATGGGCAGGCGCTCCTGCAAAATTGCCGGGAGAAAGGTACAATGAAGTTTCCCACTTTCCATGGGTTTTATTAAAATGTATAGAACTCTGATTATTTTGCATAGTCTTGTGCTTGTAATATATTGAATCATCTCTTTATTTGATTTCTAATCATGATAATTGTATTTTGTTGTCGGTTGAGATTCAGTAATTTAGCATTCAGAGAGATTTTCGCACAAGTTGCCCTTGAAGTAGAACTTCTCATTTTGATATCACCTCTGAGTTAAGTGATATCAGAATTACTTGTTAGTATTGTAGCAGGACTATTGGAGGATATGTATGACTAGGTTGTAAGTTGCAATGGTTCTTGAGGGCTTATGGCTATTTTCAAGAATTGTGTAAGCACACCATTACTGCAAATAGGAGTAAAACATAGATCATGTGCACAAATAGGAGTATCTTTGTTTGTGCCAAAATTAGGACTCGTTTAGTCCTAAAAAGGGATAACAGTAGTTAGTACTGCGCAATTCTTATTTTAGCAGCGAATAAATCTTATTTTCACAAATTAACAATGATACTTCTACTTGAAGAAACATTTTACTACGTATATTTTACTCATATTTATAGAATTTCCAGAACACCAAAGAACTTTTTATAGTGTTTGTTCTCCTTTCCTTAGCCATTTACAGGACCCAAACATACCCTCAGGTTCCAGCCTTCCAGGTTATGTGTTGAACCTAGAATTGCTTTCACCTTTTCAGTCGATGTATAAGTTAGTAATTTTAGATGTTCAATCCCTACTCCCCTCAAATGGACAGAGAGAAAGGGACTGAGATATGTTATCAAACAATTCTACCACTGATCTTCTTTTCTGCAAGCAGTTAGTTAGAGACTCTTAAGTTTATTACATTCTTTCTATGACATGCCTTTTTAAACATTTGTAAACACAGACAGCACAGGATGCGAAGAAAACGAAATTGTATTCAAAAATTGGGAAGGAGGTTGTTTCTGTGTAAGTTAACCCTTCTTCAAACGAGTACTAGAATACATTCCATGTGAGCCCTTTTATATTACTTTTATGATTGGTAATATGAATTTATGTACACCATCTATTACACCAAAAAAAATCAGTTTTGCTCCTCCCCATGAAAAACGAGTCCCATTGCAACAAAACTAATTAATTTTTATTGAAGTTTATGTCTGTTTTTCCCAAAAGAAAATCCAAACCAGTTAAGTTTGTTAAATTTACTTGGACAAGAAAATAAATTGACAAACATAAGTATGTTTGATATTTCAAGAGTTGTAGCTAATCAAAATCAAAAGGCTGTACCCTGATTAAGCACGGTGTTTGTGTGTGTAGGTGGGGGAGGGAGGCTAAATGATTAATACATTTTTTATTTTTGTTACATGGTTAGGGTAAAGAAAGGCGGCGCTAGTCCTATATCTAACGTAGCTTTGGCTGCTTTGCTTGAGAAAGTTAAGGACCTTGATGTGCCCAAGGACATAGTGGAAAGAAACATTAAGAGAGCGTCAGAGAAGGGCCAAGAGGCTTACATTGAGAAAGTCTATGAGGTACTAGGCACTAAACAAGAACATCTAATTATTGATTTATTTTTTCATCCCTTTTTTCATCTAGAACAGATACTATTGCTGTGCTAGTCACCTTTCATGAAGAGAAGGGGTGCAGTATCATAGGAGGGGACCTTGGGGACCCTCATATTGCCTTATCAGCCGAGATAGCGCCTATCAGTTAACCATTTTTGGCATATTCTAGTAATTTACATGGGAAGGATTTTATAGCCTCTTCATGCCTCACAGCCCCAAAATTGTATCTACTGTAGTTGGTTATGCACTGCATCTCAACAAATTTCAAATATAACAATATGAGAAGCGTTGGCTTTTTAATCATACCATTTGATTGTGGAAAAGGTTTGCATCACGAATTAGTCCCTCCAAGCGTGAGGAAAAGCTTCATGTATAAGGGGGGAGTAGTGATATGGTGATAGGTATCTGGCTTAGTAGGCTAATAATAAGAAATGATAATAATAGTAAGTGTAATAATAATAATAGTAGTAGTAGTATAAGTAGAAGGGGAGGGGAGGAAAATAGTTAGGCAAGTATTGAGTTGGATTTGGCTAGGTGAGGAGATTGGGCATCTTGAATGGTCCATTGTATCCCTTCTGTGATCTGTTCATCATTGTGAATAAAGTGTTCGATCTGTTCTTGTTCATATCTACTGATTTTATACTGTTATGAGTTAGACAATCCAGTGTTCTAACATATGGACGGAAGAAGCCTATTATTATGAGTCTCATTTATTATTAGTATTAGCTTCTTATTATTATCATCAGTTGTAGTTTCCTATTAGCATAAGTATTCTATTTTAGTTAATATTTCTAATAGAAGTATTGTAATAGGTTTATGTTTACTCTATTGTTGGGCTAACAAGACTCTTGGAACTAGTATATAAGTGGTATATTCATTCATAATATGGTGAATAATCTTGGAGTCTAGACAAAGTCAGACATCATCTTCTCTTCTCTAGGGTGGAGAAGTTCTTCAACCTCAATTGATTTTATTCCACTTCTTTTCATCTCCCAACCACACGCGTAACATATTTTTTGTGACGATAGAAGTATGGAAAAAGCAAGCAGGGGAGAAAATAAAATTTTCATTGTCTGTATGAATAGAAAAGTAAAGGAAGAGAGAAAATTTCAGGTTGGACCCACCCCAAATTATCTCTCCAAAATAGTTGGGAAAAGTTGAAAGGGAAGATATTTGGGAACAATTACGATTTTAAACATCCTATTTTACTCTACATTACAATATCTACTTAAAGTTTGGATAACTATGACTGGAAGAAGAATCACATTTTCTTTCTCATTCTGTCCTTTCCCAACCCTTTAAATCCAATCACACTAAAAATCTTCTCTTCAACTCTTTCTTATTCTGTTATACTTCATTTTCCTTCCTATTTTTGCTCTCTTTTATCCAAGCAATTCATTACTGTCATAACTGGACCAAGAATGATGTGAATAGACTTGAAACTCAAGTGTCAGTCCTTGTGCAAGTTCAGGTGTATGGGTATGGTGGAGTTGGCATCATAGTTGAGGTTTTAACGGACAAAGTGAACCGGTCAATAGCACAGATTAGAGAGGTGGTGAAGGATTGTGGTGGGAAGATGGCAGATTCGGGGTCCATTATGTTCAAGTTCAGAAGGGCGCGTGTTGTTAATGTGAAAGTGGGTGACGTTAACAGAGATCAGCTTCTCACAATTGCCTTAGATGCTGGTGCTGAAGATGTCATTGAACCTTCCTCAGTGGATGGGGATGATACCGAAGATGATGATATGCTAAGGTATGATGCTTTTATGCTGCAACCATGAACTCAGGTTGTATTCTGTTTCTTAAATAATTGATTTACTCCAGATAAACCCATTTTATATATTTGGACAATGCAACAAGAGTTGACTCAAGCTATAAATTACTAAATTGTAAATCTAACCTCCATCCCCCTCAAAAAAGAGGCTAGTTCACTTTTAGATATAAGGGTTAACATAAAAAGAAATCCAATGTTTGAAAAGGTGACAAAACTAGTCTTTCAGAGATATAAGTCTTAAATAACATCTATAGTTTTAAATCTATGATGGTATTAATATCTGTTTAGTTCGGCCACTTCGGTGCACTATAATCTATGAACTTACATAGATTCTGTCCACATACAATATAATTTGTTCATCATCATCACCCCAGTGCCGCAAAGGCTCCCCACCTACGGTGGGGTAAGGGGGGTCGGATGTACGCAGTCTTACCCCTGCACTAAAGCACTGTTTCCGGATGACCCATAGTGAAAATCGCGTTGAAATTGCATGGATTGACTGCTGCTTCATAACAAAGAAGCGCAGACAGTTTAGTGAACCATTTTGCTTTATTCCATCATATTCCCAAGCCAAAAAATAGTGAGTCTTTGGCTCCATTGCAAATGATGGAAAAATACAATATAGTTTGTTATGATGTGTAAATAGTATTTATTCCTCATCATATCTAAAATATGTGTTGTTTTCTACTTTTTACTTCAATTAAGTAACCACTGAAGATCGAAACTGGCCGATTTTGATCTCTAATTGTATTTTCCACCTCATATAAATCAGTTTTCACTTTGCACACTTCGCAATAAAACAAATACCGTAGTGGGACAGATAACTTTTCGAAGTCCGAACATTATCAATTCTAGCTATAATTTCAAAGTGATAGTAGGCTGGTTAAAGTAAATTTAACATACGTAACCTGTTGGATAACTTTGTTTTTGAGAAAAGTAAGTTGAATATGATTGCAAAGGATTGTTTTGTTAAAAAGGGACTCTTTTAACATTTATGTGATATGGTTAGGTATTTGACTAGTTTTCATTTTTGGCGCAAATTTTCCCAACTCCAAATTATATTATGAAAGTGCTGTCATTACTGAGATCTTTTGGATGGGAAGTTCTTTATCGGATTAGATTTTCATTAAAAGCTTCCGTGATTATATTGTTGGCTTATTGCGTTCAAATCAATGGGATAGTGATGATTCCTTTGCTTTGTGTCATTTCATCTGGTGTAGGTACTACAAAGTTGTGAGTTCGAATGAGAATTATTCTGCAATTTTATCAAAGCTACGTGAAGAGGGAGTTAAATTCGAACATGATAATGGTTCTGAGCTACTCCCCATCACTCCGATTGAGGTTTGTGCTAACAATGATCAATATATAATGGCATTGCACGCGGCTACTCACCATTTGAAATGCATAATGATATCTTACACACACACGCCCACAACATGAAGATTAATAAACTTCTCTTGAGCATAGAATGGTGCCCCATAACGTGTCATATATGTTAATTAGTTAGCTTCATATTAATGATAATATTATCAGTTAATAACTGAATATTAATGGCCTTCCCTTTTTTCTCCTTCCTTTTTTAGAGGAGTGCAACAGCAACACCCAATAGATAAAAAAAGATAAGATAAGATAAAAAAGATAAAATAAGATAAAAAAAGATACAGAAGATACAAAAAATAAAAAAGATAAGATAAAGAAAAGTTAAGATTTAAAAAATAAAAAAATAAAAAAGATAAAATGATATCAATTCTCCACACGTATATTCTCCCTCCACTATGCTCTCTTCAAAGTAATTTTCTCATCCAACCCAAAAGTACCTTATTATCCGTGACTCCTCTAATCCACGTCTGTTTGGGCCTTCCTCCCCCTCTCCTCTCCACCTTTTTAACTCGTCTAATAGGTGCATCACTCAGTCTTCCATGCACATGGCCAAATCATAGTAGTCAATACTCTCGCATTTGATTGTCTCACCTTTTGCCACCTTTTACCTGATTGTGTCATTCCTTCAGCGGTCTTTTCTAATATGTCCTAACATCCAACATAACATGCGCATCTCAACCGTAGTATCTCCAAGGGAGGAGTGATAGGAAGTATTGTAGAAATACTCAACTGGCCGCTAGCGTACCCATTCTTGGGGTCAATCACTTGTGAGTCAACAAAGAAACATTTCAACTGCACGATTGACAAACTTCTGTTTGACAGAGGAGAAAGCCAGTTTTGTACCGCTAAGGAGAAAGCCAGCTTTATCATGATCTGAGACAATGGACTCGGGCAACCCATGAAGATATTTCCGTGAAAAAGACTGCAACCACAAACATGGCAAACGGCAGTGAATGGATGACTTAGAGGCAAAAGCAATAAAGTGAGCTACCTTAGAAAGCAGGTCCACCACTACAAGAATTACTGTTCTGCCCTGAACTTTGGGTAAGTCCATTGAGATGTCCTCCCAAATATGAGTAGAAATAGGTATGGTAGTTAAACTCGAGATCCTACGTAGGATTGGAAGTTGATTTAAGGATCGTAAATTGTAGTATAGTAACTCGGATCGTGATATGAAGCAGAATCTGGGCTTGGAAGAAGAGGGGAAGAAGCCCCCGTGGGTTTGCCAAAGGCGGGACGGGCTTGAGCCTACCTCCGTGGGCTGGTTACGGGCTGTTTAATTAATATTTATTCTTTTTAATTTTCCTGATTTGTTTCCTATTAGGAGTTAATTAGGATTTCTAAAATTTATTTCCTATAAGGAATTAATTAGGATTTCTATTATTTCTTTCCTATTTGGAGTTGATTAGGATCTTTATTATTCTGTTTTCTAGTTAGAGTTGATTAGGATTTCTAGGATTTTGTTTCCTAGTTTAATTATTAGTAGATGAGTATTTAAACCCCTTGTTATGATTCATTCTGGCTCATCTCGGAATAAAAGTTGGTTTAGCCTTTTGGCTCTGGGCAACGGTTCACCCCGTTGATTTTATTTTTTTCTGTTCACAACAATTGGTCCGACCTGCTGGATCCCGTCCCGCCAGAATGACGAGATCTATCAGTGAACATTTGTCAGAAATGAAGCAAACCCTGGAAGCAAACGGCAGGCGGCTGGTTGAGATCGTCACATCCCTTGTGACGCTGACCAAGGCCCTTGTGCCATCGATCACGACTGAGACACCATCAGACACAGTCATTGGTGCCGCCATCGTAGCGGCAACACACGATGGACCTCCGCGCAACACTCCTCCAACGTTGCTGCCCATGTTCGACAGAAAAGAACCGATTAGGTGGATAGCTAGGGCTGAGCAAAAGTTCGAAATTAATCAAAACCTACCTGAGAGGAAAGTGACAGCAGCTACGGTAGCCATGGAAGGAGCTGCCTTGGACGGGTTGACCTGGTTGAAGGCACAAAAACCGAGCATGGGAGAAATTTACACAATCACAGGTGGCCCGATTTGATTCACGGTTCAAAGAAAGCCGATTCAAACGGTTGTTCGGGGTCAAACAGTTGGGAACCGTAGAGGAATATAATAACCTTTTTGTTCAATTGGCCAGTCAGGTCCCGGACTGTCCGATGATTATTACTTGGGGTATTTCATGAACAAGCTGAAAAGATCAAGTGGCAGCTTTCCTCAAGATACGGGGCAGCCCCCAGGGACAAATATGAGCCGGTTTCCGGATTTCAACCTTGAGAACAAGGTTTTTTCGAAGAGGGATGGAATTGATATGAAGCAGAATCTGGACTTGGAAGAAGAGGGGAAGAAGCCCCCGTGGGTTTACCGAAGGCGGGATGGGCTTGAGCCTACCTCCGTGGGCTGGTTACGGGCTGTTTAATTAATATTTATTCTTTTTAATTTTCCTGATTTGTTTCCTATTAGGAGTTAATTAGGATTTCTAATATTTATTTCCTATTAGGAGTTAATTAGGATTTCTATTATTTCTTTCCTATTTGGAGTTGATTAGGATCTTTATTATTCTGTTTCCTAGTTAGAGTTGATTAGGATTTCTAGGATTTTGTTTCCTAGTTTAATTATTAGTAGATGGGTATTTAAACCCCTTGTTATGATTCATTGTGGCTCATCTCGGAATAAAAGTTGGTTTAGCTTTTTGGCTCTGGGCAACGGTATTTATTTATCGTTGATTATCTAGGCAACGGTTCACCCCGTTGATTTTATTTTTTTCCTGTTCACAACAGATCGTAAGATCCTACAAAATCTACATACAATGTAAATATATATGTATGTACGGAAAAGATCCTGTCCAGCCGGAGGGACAGGATCCTCCGTCCGGCCGCCGCCATTTGGGGCGGTTTCCGGTGGAGTTTTTTGATGAAATTTTTATGGAATGTTCCTCATCAAGTCTAGTTTATCCACAAAAAATTTCAGCTAAAAATTCGATCGGGAAGGCAGTCAAATAATTTTTTGAAACATAACTGCGTTTTATATGTTTAAGTTGGAGCAGTTATCTTCAAAAATTTATTTGACTGCCTTCCCGATCGAATTTTTAGCTGAAATTTTTTGTGGGTAAACTAGACTTGATGAGGAACATTCCATAAAAATTTCATCAAAAAACTCCACCGGGAACCGCCCCAAACGGCGGCGGCCGGACGGAAGATCCTGTCCCTCCGGCTGGACAGGATCATTCCTCTATGTATGTATATATATATATAATAGAAAAGTAAATATAATTGACTAATTATAACCGTAGTAAGATGTTTAATGGAATATAATATGAACTAAATAATATAAGCTATTGATATTATTTTTATTTAAAGTAAACTATTGATATTATAATATGTTGGGCTGTAGGCTTTGGCCCACTCAGATTTGGGAGGCAAATAAACAAAGAGCAGCAGCCTGCTCTAGTTAAATGTGCAGGCAGCCCTAGTTGGGCATGTTTCTTTGGTGGCAGTCAGGCCCCAGAAGGCCGTTTTACCCTAATTGTTTGCCATTATATATTGACTCCTGTACTTGTAAACTATGACTTGTATCATTCATCATCTCAATAAGAAAGAAAACCCTAGTTGCCCCCGTGGATTAGGTCAGTAACATTTAGTGGTTGAACCACATTAAATTCGTGTGCCGTTCTTCTCGTTCTTTTCTAGTTTTTTCAGATTCATGCGTGTGATATCTAACCCTAACAACTGGTATCAGAGCCAAGGTTAGTCACCACCACATATCTGACCACCACCACTGCTGCCGCCTTGCGTCTTTAGCCTCCTTGTGCCGCCAACAGTGCGCTGTCGCAGAAAAATATAGCTGGCAGATTGTAAAGGTCTGGGACAATGGCAGACAATGGAAAAACCAAAGTTGAGAAGTTTGATGGACAAGATTTTGGATGGTGGAAGATGAAAATTGAGGATTTGCTGTGTCAGAAGGATCTGATCAAGCCTTGACAGGGGAAAAACCAGAAAAGATGAGTGATGATGAATGGGCTACTCTAGACAGGAAAGCTTTGGCCGTTATGAGATTTACCCAAGCCAAGAGTGTGGCATTTAACATCTTGAAGGAGACTACTGCATGTGGTTTGATGAAGGCTTTGTTAAACATGTATAAGAAACCATCAGCGTCAAATAAGGTATTTCTGATAAGACAACTAGTAAACACCAGAATGAAAGAAGGTGCTTCTGTTACCTTGCATATTAACGAGTTTAATACTATCATATCTTGCTTGCTATCTGTTGATATTAAGTTTGAAGATGAAGTCCAAGCTTTATTCTTGTTATCCTTGTTACCAGAATGTTGGTAAGGAACAGTCACTGCCATTAGCGGTTCAACTGGAATCTCTAAACTCACATTTGACGACATTCGTGACATTATCCTAGGAGAGGATATAAGGAGGAGTTCTGGAGAATCTTCTAGTGCTTTGTTAAGTATTGAAGGGAGAGGTAGAAAGATAAGAGAAGGGAAATAGCAGAGGTAGATCAAAGTCTAGAAAGAGGAGCCAGTTAAAACCGAGAAAAGATATTCAATGTTGGAATTGCAAAGAAACCGGGTATTTCAGAAATCAATGCCCTAAATCATCAGAAAGAAAGGAAGTAAATGCAGCCACTGACGATTCAGATGATGCCCTTATGTGATGTGTTGAAAACTCAATAGAAACGTGGATTATGGATTCTGGTGCATCATTTCATGTTACTTTCAGCACGAAGACGATGAAGAATCTATGGACGGGTAATTTTGGTAAAGTTCGTTTGGCTAATAACGACTCTCTTGACATCATAGGGATGTGTGACATAGATTTAAAGACTTCATTGAGCACCACTTAGACATTGAAAGACGTTCGGGTCATTCAAAGCCTTAAGAAGATGCTGATTTCATTTGGGCAGTTGGATGATCAGGGATTTGATGTTACTTTTGGTG